ACCTGTCTTTCTTTACAACATGTCCAAAGTATGTCAGACGAAGCCCCAGAATCCTTGCCTCCAAGGAGTAGCCTGGTTTAACCCTCTCTAGGCTGGATCTGTTTGTTTTCTTGGCAGTCCATGGAACATTCAATACTCTTCTCCAGCACCACAGCTTAAAGGCGTCAATTCTTCTATCCTCCCTAGTCATTTTCCAACTCTCTGATGCATAACAAGTGATTGCAAAGACCATGGCAAGTGACTTGACGGCACATAACAACAACAACAACTCCAGATTCCAGCTGCTTCACATAAGAGGCTCCAAAACTGGAGTCTCTTAGGCAGGTCCAAACCCAGTTTTAACTACAAGGCCCATCCACCAGGTCCTGATTGATTAAAACAAGAGGCTTCCAGTCACAGCTGGTTGTTAACTAAATCAAAATGGCCAATCAGCTTACACTTGATTGTCATCTGCTTTATGCAGAAGACACAGCCTTGCTTGCTAAAAGTGAGGAGGGCTTGTAGAAGATCAAGGAATGCAGCCTTCAGTTTGGATTGCATTACAATATCAAGATAAAGATTCTTACCACAGGATCAGTAGTCAACATCATGATGGATAGAAAGAAGATTGAAACAGTCAACAGTTTCATCTTACTTGGATCCACAATTGACAGTCATGCAATCAGGAAATAAGTTTGATTTCCCTGGGAAAATCTGCAGTTAAGGACCTCTCTAAATTATTGAGAAGTAAAGATGTTAGTTTCAGGGTTAAAGTGTGTCTGATTCAGGCCATAGTCTTTCAGATCAGTTGCTATGCTTCTTAGAGCTGCACAACAAATAAGGATGACAGCCTTTGAACTGTTGTGTTGGAGAAGAGCACTGAACATCCTATGGAAGGCCAAAGAATGAACAGATATGTCTAGGAGAAGGTGCAGTCAGAGTGCTCTTTGGAAGCAGGAATAATGAGGCTTTGCTTCACACACATGGGGCATGTTGCTAGGCGGGGCTATTTCTTGGAGAGAGAAATGATGCTTAGAAGGGTGGAACATCAGCAAAGGAAAGGAAGCCCCTCAACTAGGTGGATTGACACAGTTACTGCTACAGTAGGCTCTTGTTTGTCCGGAAGTGTAAGGATGACACAGGATAGAAGAGGGCTCAGCTCTTTTGTTCACTTTTAGGGTCACTATGAGTCATACTTGGCTCAACAGCACCTAGCAACAGCAAAAAACAGTACTTGATGCACTCTAGTATGCCAGGTGACTTTTATTAAAAGAGAATATACAGAAGAAGAATTGATGCCTTTGATTTGTGGTTCTGGAGAAGAGTCTTCAACTACAATAGATGGCCAAGAGAGCTAATAGGTTTGTCTTAGAGAGGGTGAAACCAGGTTTCTCCTTGGAGAGAAGGATTTTGAAGCTCTGTCTCACATACTGTAGGAACATGGCCAGGAGGTCTTAGAGAAAGACATCATGCTTGGAAGGGTGGAGAGACAGCACTGGAGAAGAAGACCCCACATGAGATGGATTGGCATAATTGGGGTAATGGGATTAGGTGTGTTAGAATCAGTGAGACTGGCTCAGGATAGGGCAGGCTTCAGAATTATTATACACAGGGTAGCTGTTAGTCCCAGATGACTGATACCACATAACAACAACATACTTTATAATAACTACTAGTTAATGGTCGAGGCTGGAGGAACTTCAAAGATGACTGTGTGGTGTCTGTAAATAAGGAGTATGGCCCATTATTGTAGAAAATTTATATTTCTAGAAAAAGAAAAGTACATAATTCTTTAAGAACTTTGTTTTTCTTTCTAGGTAATGCAGACCGTGATGAAATCCAATGTATGTATTATTAATTATTATTATTATTATTATTATTATTATTATTATTATTATTATTATTATTATTATTATTATAATCATATAACTCATCTGCATGAATTCCAGTTTTCAATTGGTTCTCTATTTGCAGATTACAGATTTTGGTATCCACGATGGGAAGTGCCGCGGCCACTTGTGTGTGATCCAATATGTATACTTGTTTTTCTGTTGAGACTAATAAGTTTTATACTAAGTATAATTCTAGTTCTTGTAATACAGTACTACTTTCCAAATATCTTATTGGAAGAACAGCTGATGGTTTTCTTTGATGAATTGGAAGAAAGAAACCTAAATAAAGAGGAAAATAGACCTGCTGAGGTGAAGAAAATGGAGGAGGAGCAGGTGCCCAAGAAGGAGGAGACGGAGGAGGAGGAGGATTACTTGTGATAGAGGCCAAAAATATACTATGAGGAAAGACAAAAATAATGACTGCAACAACTTTCTTGAACAAAAATTAAACAGATACAAACTATTATTGCAACCTTGAATTATTCTCTTTACTAGACCTACTCAACAAATTTAAATTGGGAATATAAGCAAACAAATAAAAACCATGTACTGTGTAATAAGGGCTGTAAACTCTTGCAAGTGTGGAACCAATTAAAAAAAATACGTGATAGAAACAATATACTGTTAAAGAAGAGAATTTCCAATTTTTATATATTTATGTATCTTCATTGCTAGCTATTTTTTAGCGAGCTAGTACATTTCTTAAGTATTAAATGAGATTGTACATGTAAGGCGCTTCACATGTTTGGTGTTTAGAGTTGAGAACAGCCATTTAATGTTGGTGTTGTGGTATATGTTGTTAATATCAGTGTAGTTAGTAGTAGTGTTGATATTTTCTATGTGATATCAAGGCTTCTAAAAATTATTTTGGTAATCTATGTATTCAGAATTATTTAAATGGTACCTGTATTAAGAAGCAAATTGATTATTTCTACTTCCTGCTTAATATTTCATTAAAGCCTTGCTGTAATTCTTAAGTATGCTATATAATTTATTGCCAACAAGGACTAATAAATGCCAACAACTTATTTAGTTATTACTGAGCAATATGGTTGCTTCTGAACTTATATGATGAAATAAAGCAAATTTTAAAAAGAATTAATTGCTTGTGATTATTCAATATATGTAGTCAATGTTACAAGCTTTTATTTAAAGCTAAAAGCTTAGTGTTCTGCTGTTATTTGCCTTAAAACAAACTCCTAGCTAACCCTCATGTGAGTTTTCAGAAGCTGTATTATCACACAGAGGAGACTGCCCTTCTTCTGAGATGGTTTCAGCTGATGGTTTCAAATGACCAGTCTTTGGGTTGGGTGCAAGCACAATTCCCTAGTTTATTAAGAGAACTATTTACTCTTGACTAACAAATGAACTGGATAATAATAAATACAGAGTGTAGCAAAATACACCAAATTTTAACTTAGTTCTCATCTTCTTATATCAATATTATATTAAAACCTATTCTAAAATTAGTAAAGTGAGAATTATACTAAAAAGCCCTGGATGGTTCTCTTGAAGTCAGTGTTCCCAGGGTTAGTGGTAGAGAGATGGAGAAGATTATTGTTTTCACATTGTTACTGTTATTATTTTTCCTTTGTTGTTGTTCTTATGTGCCATCGAGTTGTTGCGTGTGACTCATAGCCACCTTATATACAACAGTTCCGAACCCTGCTCTTTCCTGAGCCAGTTTCACTGACTCCTACACACCAACCCTCATTGCCCCAGTCACTGTGTCAATCCATCTAATGTGGGGTCTTCCTCTCCTGCACTGTTCCTGCACCCCTCTGAGAGTATGATGTCCTTCTCCAAGCACTGGTCTCTCCTTTAGTTTTATTTTATTTGTTTGTGTCTCTTTTTAAAAGAATTCCAAATTTGTTTAGGGTTTTGTTTTTTTCATCTGCCTATCCCAACCATGGGGCCCATGAGGACATTCAAAATGTGAACTTCAATAAAAAATAGCAAGTCAAACTAGGGAGTTCCCCAAGAGCAAGAAAGCTAGAGTTGCTGAAGACTGCAGGGGTTCCCTTTTTCCCCTCCTAAGGTCTAAAATGTCAATACCTAATATGTCAATATTTATGCATTCCATTTCTTTCTTAACAATTTCTAATTTTCCTTCATTCATGGTTCTCACATTCCATGTACCAATCACTAGGGTCTGCTTACAGCTGTTCCTCCTCCCTTGTGTTTCCATACTTGATGGTTCT